ACCCCACTGAGGCTACCTCACTAAGGCTAACTCACTGAGGCTACCCTACTGACGCTACCCCACTGAGGCTACCTCACTAAGGCTAACTCACTGAGGCTACCCTACTGACGCTACCCCACTGAGGCTACCTCACTAAGGCTAACTCACTGAGGCTACCCTACTGACGCTACCTCACTGAGGCTACCTCACTGAGGCTACCTCACTGAGGCTACCTCACTGAGGTTACCTCACTGAGGCTACCTCACTGAGGCTACCCCACTGAGGCTAACTCACTGAGGCTACCTCACTGGGGTTACCTCACTGAGGCTACCTCACTGAGGCTACCCCACTGAGGCTAGCTCACTGAGGCTACCTCACTGGGCCTACCTCACTGAGGCTACCTCACTGAGGTTACCCCACTGAGGCTACGTCACTGAGGTTACCCCACTGAGGCTACGTCACTGAGGTTACCCCACTGAGGCTACCTCAATGAGGCTACCTTACTGAGGCTAACTCACTGAGGCTACCCTACTGATGCTAGCTCACTAAGGCTAACTCACTGAGACTACCTTACTGAGGCTACCTCACTGAGACTACCTCACTGAGGTTACCTCACTGAGGTTACCTCACTGAGGCTACCTCACTGAGGCTACCCCACCGAGGCTACTCACTGAGGCTATCTCACTGAGGCTACCCTACTGACACTAGCTCACTAAGGCTACCTCACTGAGGATACCTCACTGAGGCTACCTCACTGAGGCTACCCCACTGAGGCTACCTTACTGAGGCTAACTCACTGAGGCTACCCCACTGAGGCTACCTTACTGAGGCTAACTCACTGAGGCTAACTCACTGAGACTACCTCACTGAGACTACCTCTCTGAGGTAGCCTCACTTTATGAGAATAAAGTCATAACATTATTCTCATAATGTTACGACTTTATTTTTATAATGTTACATTATACCCCACCAAGGCTACCCACTGAGACTACCCCACTGAGGCTACCTCACCCAGGCTAACTCAGTGAGGCTACCTCACTGAGGCTACCCTACTGACGCTAGCTCACTAAGGCTAACTCACTGAGACTACCTCACTGAGACTACCCCACTGAGGCTACCTCACTGAGGCTACCTTTCTAACGCTAACTCACTGAGGCTAACTCACTGAGGCTTCCTCACTAAGGCTAACTCACTGAGGCTACCTCACTGAGGCTTCCTCACTAAGGCTAACTCACTGAGGCTACCTCACTGAGGCTTCCTCACTAAGGCTAACTCA